AGACACTTGATGTTGCAGGGGAGGGTTGCAGGTGTGGGATGAACCATACATTTTGGGGTTGAGATAGAACAGTCCATTTGACTTTTGGACTTATCTGTAGGTAAGGGCATTGTCCAACCAGTAGGGGAGATTGTTTTCATCCTGGCTGTACTATTGTGAATAATTATATTTATCCATCCTTCCCAACAATTTCTGATTTCATCTTTTCTAAGCATTTGGTTTTGACAGAGATATTCATAAGGTGATTTTTATGAGTTTTAGGTATTGTGCTGGCATGATTTTTTCAAAGAAATTGATTTATGAACAGTATTTGATGAATTTTCTGTTTTTCTAAGGTTCCTTACATCAAAAATAAAATAGTGTCTTCAAGCTGGCCATATTAATAATATTTACCTTAAGAAGAGGCCAGCTTTTAAAGATCATAAAATCAACACTACAGATAGGTATTGACTTCTATGACAATTGCAAAAATATTCATTAATGTAGCAGGTTTTATTTTTATTTCTGGTCAGTTTCTTTCACATTATAGCTTACTTTGACTTTATGTAGATAGTGCCAAACATAAAAGGCCATTCCTAACATGGTGAAAAATGTTCCTTAGTTTAGTACCTTCCAAGAGATTGATTTGGATGTGTCTATGCATTTTATTAAAGCTAATGGCCCCAATGTTTCTGATGCTGAAATTAGTTTTGGAACAATTTTCAAACACTTTTCAGAACATCTTATTATCACCTCTCTAATTGTGCCTCTCAATTGCTTAGATGACATGTCAAATATTATATGCATGTTTTCATGATGTAAATCTTTGATTATTTTACTTGTTTATTTGATGGTCAGCAGACATGGATGGTGTTTTACTATGCTTTTATTGCTCTGTCACACCAATCACAAAGAGATATATCTATTTCATCATTTTTAAAAAGGTTAATGTGACCATTAATCTCTCTTGAATGTATGCTACAGACAATATCTGCTTTATTGCACATTCATTACAGAAACAAATCTTTGCACATTTGATCAAAACCAAATAGACCCCAAGACCTCACAAGACCCCTCGTTTGCCTGAAAACTTAATTCAACTATTTTATTACAATCCCTTTAGTATTTTCAGTGAATTTGCTATCAGATACTGTAAAAGTATCTAGATGACAGAATAAATAGATATGCACATTTTCTTCTCTACCAGCCATAGCCTAATTTAAACTGTGCTAGCGGTGCTACTTCAGTGGAAGAGACTTTTAATTTGTAGACTTGACTCTTGATATTTTTTTGAAGGCAGAAACAAGATTTACAGTTTTCTTCATTAATAATAGTGTCTCAGGGGGAAAAAAAAAAGACTTTGCTGTGTGCAATGTTGGCAGATGTCAGAAACCCTCAGATAAGGCTCTTCCACCATCTATTTCCATCTACGGGTGCCCAGCTCTATTTCTGAGTTATGGCAAATGTTGTGAGTCCCCTGAGGTTACCTATTGCAGAGGAGATAGAGAGCTGCAGCAGCAGGGGGTGAGGAGACCTGGAGCCACCTTGGTAGTGATATAATGGGGGCTATCTCTGCAGTGCCTGTTACCTGCAGGAATGGGCTTAGTTTATAGAAAATCCATCAGTGGGTGCTGGATATTTGGCAAGAGATAAGTCAAATAAAAAAATAACAGTCCTATGGAGCATCAAAGGAACTCTTGTGAATTTGAATGGGAGGATGCCCTCCAAAGAAGTGAACCATTGCAACAGATATTTGCAATGTGTAAAGCACAGAAGTGTGTGCTACCTCCCAGATGTGACAGCTCAGGGGCAGAGAGTGGTTTAATCATGGCTGCATGCAGTAGCCACATGTTTATGAACTCTGCTGGGAGGATTCTACAAGAGTGTCTGCTTTTCTGTTTGTGTACAGTTGTAATCCTTTGGACCCCATCTGGCTCTTTGTCAAACCAGTGCAGATGCTTTCTTATCTTATTTTTCAGCACTAGTACTGTGCTTAAATCATCTACTCTGTAGATGCCTTGCAACATTGATAAGAAAAACCTTATCTATTCTTGCTTAGGAAATCACTGGGAATGGAAAGCAATGTGTACATTACTTGTTTTGCAATTCTTTTTTTCTTCTAGGTATTCTGTTTCCATTGAAGTGTAAATAATACTTTGTTTTACATTGACCATGTGAGTTTTAGACTCACAAATACTTAAATCTATTTAAATATGTTTTCATCTAGTTGGGACTTGTTAAAGGTGTAGGAGAATTGCAAAAATACTTAACTCAGGAAGGAGAAAATAGCACAGTTGATCTATAACTGACATATAGTACCAGCCAAAATAATATTGTTTAGCTTTTCCTATTAGAAAGCTTAGCTGGCAAAGCCTACTTTTAAGAACAAGAAACAAAGTTAAGTACAGCATCTGCCATTCAGTTTTGGAAGGTGCATCAGTACTTGCTCTGGGATGTTGGACTGGCTTGTCAGTTTATAAAAAAAAACAGCCAAGAAATTGTCCTATGTATTACTATAGTCATAATGAAAGATAATTAAAAGTTTCAGATATTCAAAGTTATCTTCTTAGCCATACATGTGACACTGAGCAAAAGATTAAAAACTTCAGGCTCCTTTCCAAATCAAGCTTGTTATATTATCTTCCTCTATAAGTTAAAAACAGGAAGGATCCGTCCTGTGCTTTCAGCATTTTAGTTGCTTTGCAAGCATAGTAAGCATGACATGCCTGCATATCCATAAACACAAAAGGGAGGACATGTCATCATCATTTTCTGCCTTATTTATTACCACAAATGTCACAGGGATTAGCAGACTAAGTAAATCTATCCTATTATGAGTAAACGTTACATATCCTGCAAGAAAAATATTAATTTTACTTCAACTACTTTCTCTTCTTGCACAACAGGCTCAGTTATGACTAATTCTTCATCTCGGCTATCTATTCATTGCCCTCTGTATTTCATTCAGAATCCCAGGGGTGTCTTATAAAGGCTAGATTCAGAGTTGCTTAAGATTTACCCTGGAAGATGTAAAAAGAAACAGAAAACATATCTACTCTCCAACCTGTTTTATTCCCTGAAGGGGTCACTTTCTGAGTTGTTTTTCTCTCTCTTTCAAACAGAGGAAGTCATTAACCCTGAAATATATCTTCAGTTGTCTTGTGCAGTGAAACAGGTTCAGACAATTGAATGCCTCTTCAAGTCTTCAGCTTGTGTCCCCAGTAAGCATTAGGAGACAAAGGTCAGCTTCAGCTGTGATACTTGTCCTTTCAATAACTTCCCACTTTTTTTAAATACAGAAAAAAGGAAAGAGAATACATATGGCAGTATTATATTCTCAATATGAAAAAATCCTAACATTTTTCACAACCTTTGTTAATTCTACTGGAATTAAATTAAAAATTAATTTTTAAAAAAGAGCAGTAAAGGCATTTTCCATCTAATAGGGATGTAAGTCAGGATTTCCTGATACTCGATAACCTGGACTCTTCATAAATTTCCTTAATAGAAGGAAAACATTTGGATGAATGAAAAAATAACTTGTAGTGTCTTCCAGTTAACTTAAGCCCTTTGAAAAAGAACAGCAAGAAGACCAGTTTTTTGCAAAATGGCTATGCAATATTAACCATCAGAAAAATTGACCCAAAAAGCACTCTCATTTTTAACTGTCTTTTTGGTGGTTTTTCCTGCTTTTACTTTCCCCTCTATACATAAAGCTTTGATGAAGAGGAATGAAGGGACAGACCTAAAGACAGATTTGCCTGATGGTACAGCAATCAAGTTATATCTTTATCAAAGTGATATCCAGCAGAATGCACTGAAGATCAGTTAACAATATGGAAAAAATTCTTCAAAGACATATAGTGCTGCACTGCAGAGAACAATCAGGGATTGGCTGTTGCAGAAGCAAAATGAACCCTTCTGATCAACTTGTTGCCTAAAAAACCCCAATAATTTTCTTTTTTCGCCTGGAAGTTAAAGGAAATCTATGTTTCTTTTTAAGACTAGGAGGTTAGCTTGGATACTGCCTTTTTTATTATTTATTTTTTATTTTTACTCTGGATGTGCTGATCACGTCTAAAATTTAAAACTCATTTTACAATTCAGTAATGGGGAATGCTTAATTTTTTTAATTGAACAAAAAGACTGCTCAGTACAGGAAAAGTACTTCCAGTCCAGCCCTACTCATAGTGCTTTTTGATTGCTCCTGGAGATGCTCTTTGGATGAAAGCTCCTGTCAAACTCAATAAAATGACTGACAAGGCCAAATTGGCATGCATTAAGGGAAATGACAAGAGAGAAGCTTAATCATGCCTGTACCAATAGATTGAAGCTGTTTCAGTGATCACACTGCCATCCTGTGTGTGTCAGTAAGGCTTCACTTTCATCTCTGTAGAAAAAGCTATGAGGCAAAAAGGCAATTGGCCTTGATTGCATGCCAAGAGAGCCAAACAGAAAAGTAAAACTTTCTTGGCACTGATAGCATAACGGGTCACACTAATACACTCTGCTGTGTTCCACAAAACAAATGGGCAAATTCTAGAGAAATGCAGGAATTCTTTTTGCATGAAGAAAGCTTTGAAGTATACCCATTGGCTCTCTCAGACCCTATCCCTGACCCAGTTCTGTCAAAAAAAAGGTCAGTGCTAAGTGTGGAAGGTTGTTAGATGAACAAAAGCCAGCTGAGTAAACATCAGGTTGGTCCTATATAATGGCTATTAGTACAATACTATTGCTGCAACTAATATTAAAGATAAGCTGCTAATTAGGGAAAAGTTAGCCCATCTCTCTTTCATAGTTCCAAGTGAGTTTGTTGAAAACCCACCATGAAGAATTTGGGTTTCTCCATAGCCAAAGCCTATACTGAAGGCTCAAAACCCCTCTAATAAGAAATTTAGAGCAGCATAGCTGGCAAAGCTTTAGTTTCTTGGGGCAGAATTGGAAATACAAGAGTCCAGCTTGTAGATTAAACTCCTGAGTGTCTCCCCCTGTCATGTTGATGTTTTATATTTAATGTGCAGGATAGTCATGATAGAAGCATTATTTTGAGAAACTGGAGGCTGCCAACCATACTAGAAGACAGCTTTGGAAGCAGATTTTATTCCATGGACTACAACTGGCCACCCTTCAAGTATAGGTGAGTGAACTCTAGGACTGAGTTATCTTCTTGACCATTGTTCTTCTGTTTTCCTTATTTTCCATAAGTATTGATTAGCCTTGCTATTAGAGAAAAATAATCTCCACAGGACCACTGCTTTCCTCCAGTCTAAACTAAACTCATAGGAGAGTTGAAAATGGTAAAGAAGTACTGGTTCCCTGTGTTTTGAAAGAGGAAAGGATGCTGCTGTGTCACACAGGAGTTTATCTGGAGTTATTAAGCCTCGTTTCAGTCCTCCATATGGGACGAAGCTCAGATAAGAGAGACAGAATCATAGATAAGAATTATTTGCTTTTCTCAGTTTTCACTTTTTTTATGTCTCAGTACCACAGGGTTGGGATGCGAGGTGAGGGGGAAAGAATGTTGGTGGATTTCTCCTATTGCTCCTTAGTCCATTCTTGTATTTTCTACTTTTATTTTTCTGTTTGCAAATTTCTTCCCTTCTGTCTCTGATCTAAGTGTGATTCCCATTCTTTTATTTCTTCATTCCTTAGTTTTGTCTAGTGTAAGAGACACCATGCATTCAGAGGTATGATCCCTCTTTTTTATATTAGGTCATCAATGATTTTTACTTACCATATCTTCAACCTCTCGTTCCACTTTATTAACAAATTACCTTCTTTCTAGATGCTATGGGACTTTGCCACAGTTTGTCTCCTCAGCCTTCCACTTTCAATTTTTGGGACTTTTTTTTTTCTATTATTTTTGATCTGGTGTCGTTCATTAAGCTCTCTCCCCTTTATGGCATGGGATTGTCTTTACCTCTTGCTGTAAAACTGCAGAATCCTGCTGGATGGTGGCTATTGGGACATCTCTTTCTGATATCTTTTTTCTTCTTTCCTACCCTAACTAATGCTCCCCATTTTCTATTCTCACTCCAGTTACTATGGCTTTTTACTGCACATTTTTAATAGTACTAAAATCCTCAGGAGATTTCTAAAGTCTGGTTAGAGCCATGAAGTGTTGGATAGGTTGGACTACAGTGCTATTAAAAACATATTTGCTATAAATTATGAGAAAAGATATGTCAAATTATAAGAAAAAATCTTTCTCTAAGATACAGCAAAAAAACCCCAAATTATTTTCAGATGACATATAATATATGTAGTACATCAATAGAATGACTTCTTTATTAAGACAGAACTAGCTTTCCAAGGTGACAATCCCTAAAATCTCTATGCATGACTCATTTACTGCTGGCAACTTGAACTGTATCAGGCTTATACAAACACAAGGCTATAATAATGCTCAGTAGGATTAGGCTATTAAAAGTCCTAGTCGGTATTTCTTTTATGATGATTTTCAACAGAACTTGGGAATTTCGGATTACATGTCCCACCAAAATTCAAGACCAAAGAAATTTGTCTGAGATTCTGCCACTTCGACATTTACCAAATTCCCAGTCCTACAGAGTCACTGTAAGTGTTAACAAGTACTTAAATGAAGTTCAGGTTTCACTCATGAGCCTTTTTCTTTCATTAACCATAGTGGGCTGTAAATCAGAGCTATTGAATAATGGCAATGAGAAATCAATTACTTATTATAATAATAAGGTATGGTGTGTGAGACAGAGGCAGATCCTACCCTTTGATTTTATGCCTTCCTACATCTCTCAGGTTTATTTTTCAGTTATAAACACACAAACAGTAAATTTGGTGTATTCAGAAAAGCACAGACCAGACTCAGAGTCCCTTTAAAGTGGTAACAAAATCTACCTAACACATATCATGTTCAGTGAATTAGCTAATAATATAACTTAGTAGGTGGTAAATGAGCTAATAAAATATGTAATATATTTCTATGTTGGAGTCCAAAACAAGTGTTAAAATAACATTTACCTTTATGTTTGTAGTAATTTGTATAAGCTGCCTGGCAGGAGGTGAGTGTGCTGCACTATTAAAAAAAATATAACAGGAAAAAATCTCATTATTTTTAGGTGCTATGAAAGGAAGTTTGTAAATTTTTCCCACAAAATGTGTTTTAAGAAAGAGCAACTAAGCAAAAAGGTCAGCATTGCATTTTAAAATTTAAGGCCCAAGAACTAAAACAAACATTATCCTGTGACTTAACAACATATTAGCCAATGATCAACAAACAGAAGAAAACTGGAACATTGTATGCTCTGGAAAAAGTTATAAAATTAATAACATAATGCCAATTTGAGTAATTTTTGCTGATTCAACAGAATTATAAAAGAAATTAAAATTTCGATTGCAACCTAGCTGAAAAATCTAGAAGAGAAAATTGTATCCTATGACTGCAAATACTGCAAGAATTGCTTTGAAATGTATTAAGCGTCATGTAGGGAAATGATGATGCTGAGCTTCCTTCTGCACAATGATTTTAATGGGGTTGCATTTGGGTAAACCATCAGGATTGAGCAGCAAATACAGGATAGAGCTTTATTTGGTGGCAGTGCCACTTGGCTCCAGTCCCATAGTTACTCAGACTTGAGAATAGAAGAGTGCTCCCATAATATTTTCCCAGTGTAACAAGTGGAAATATGCTCAATTCCTTTGAATGAAGGGTCAGGTATGTTAATATTTAATTGAACCTGCCTCAAATATTATCGCCTGGGGATGCCTGCTCAGGAAGACACATACATCAATGTTTAAATATAGTCCCTTTCCAAGGGGCTTTGAAGCATGCACTAACCTTTGAGCTTCTGTGTAAGCACTCTCTTCTGCTCCCTTTATCCCACAGACTGCTGCAGCTGGGACTTTTTGTGGCTGAAGGTGTAAAACGTAGAATAGCATCTCACAAATGAACCAGCCATGCTCCTTTGGGGTGGAGGAATCCTAACAGCAATTGAGCTGTATTAGAACTTCAGTAGCTAGAGGTTAAGTGCCATGAATATTCCCTCTTTTCCCTTTTGCTTGGGTTTCTTTACGCTACACTGAGTATACCTTGTTCAGTTTTGGGCTACTTGATTCTAGACAGGGATTTAGCCTGGAAAAAATATTTGTACTAACAGCTAATTTTCCTCCAGTACTTAGGAGCTAAGGAAGAGCTGTGATCAGGCTTTCCAGACAGGTACAGTGAAATAAATAATCACAGTCACCACAGAAGCAAGATGACAAATTTCTACTTTTACATATGAAACATGTTTTTCATTATGAGATTCGTGAGGTACTGAACAAAGGGACACAGAAAGGTACTGGAGTTTCAGTACCTTCTTTATATTTTCTGAAGATACTCAAAATTTCACAGCACAGAACTATTTTGAAGTATGAGACTGGATTTTTAATATAATTACCAGTATTTATTGTAAAATTAGGTAATTGCAATATTCTCTAAGTCTTTTTAATATTGAAGAGAGATAGATCTGGATATTCCCACTATCTGGAAATTAAAGTCCAGTATAGTAATGTAGTTTTTTGTTTCAGCTGTTCATGTTATCACTTTACTGGTTTAGAACACAGCAGTAAGTTTCTGGTGTCCCAGTATATAGCTAAAGCAATGTCTAGAAGGTATAATTCAAGATCATAAAACACCATACTTTATAAAGAGCTCAAAATGCAGATTTTCACAATTTACATGTCCCTTTAATTCTTAATATTATGTTCTATTGAAGAATAAATATTGATTATTGTGAGTTTTCTGTAATTGCAAATCATAAATACCCAAAAACTCTAAAGTAATTTAATAAAGAACATTTTCTCAGAAACTGGACCATTTAGGAGAATTGAATTGGAATATTGGAATTATTTTTGGCTGGAAAAATTAGGTTGAGATTGATTTTGAAATATCTTTTGTGTAGAACAGTGTAATGGTATTCTTCTAAGGAACATGTCAACATAGTGATATTGAAATTCTCATTAGAGCTGTAAACGTTGTTACAAAATGAACTTCTATTCCTTTCACAAATGTAGACCTATGATTCATAGAAAAGTATTTTCAATAAAAGAACATAGTAAAAGCATTGGTTAGCTTTTATTTGATTCATTATTCCTCTCAGTATAATAAATTTTTGCTCTTCTTTATGGCTAAGATGACAAGTGCCTTTTAAGACATGTTGTAAATGCTCTGTATCTTTATATAACCTTCATGTAATAATTTCTTAATACTCTTGTAGATTAATAATTACATGATTTATGAAAAATATATTGAGGTCATTTGATAATACAACTAGTTATTAATATAAGAATATTGATACCAACTGGAGAAAGTAATTACCTGGCAACACTTGAGCAAATTCCTTCCAAGCACATCAAGGCCAGAGCACTCTTTCTAGAGGATGTTAATACCATTTCAGAATTTGAGATGCTTTATATTAGAGTCTAATAGTTGGGCTTTTTTTCTGAAATAAAATAAAAATAAGCCCTTGTTAAACCCAATTGAGACAGCCTAAACAGGATATTAAATTAGTAAAAGGAAATAAAGTACAGCTAATACTTAAAAGTCATCTGTAACTTTGGGGGAAAAAAAGTTTTAATCACTCCTAAAGACTAATTTTAAAACACTTAGGTAAAGCTAATGTGGTTTACTGAAGTTGCAGTATAGCAGTGAAAGCAATTCCTGTGGAAAACAAAGTTGTTCACAGATCTCGTATGCTCAGAGCAGAGGCATAAGCTAAGATTTGGTGGAAAGAAAGGGACAGGACAATTCAGGACTCCTGCTCTTCAAAGACTTGCCTTAACTTCTTATGTGCCTTACGTGCCTTTTCTAGGTAATTTACTTGACTATTATTTTGGGGTTTTTTTGAATTTTTTTTAGGCTACAACCTCTAGACCTGTTAAAAGATATTTAGGGTATCCAGTCTCCCTAAGGCAAAGCTAAGTGACATAAAGGAAGTTTATCTATTTACTTTTTGCTTTAGCTATTTTTAGTGATTGTTTATATAGGAGGCAAGACAGTCAGATCCCTCTCCCCTTAGGGCAGACATTTCTGTGATTTTTAAGTCTTTTAATCCAAGATATTAAAGGGCCCTGGAATTTTTTTGTTTGTTTTGTGGGTTTTTGTTTTGCTTTTCTGTTGTC